GAGGAGTTAAATGCAAAAGTATATTGGTTATACCAATTATTTACATATAGTAATTAAAATTGTCAAGTATTAGTAAGTATTTTGCCTTAATTTTTATTCAAAAAACCGATTTTTTTTTTACCAGTCCTGGTCTTGGTCCTGCAACAATCAGGCGGCCTTGGTCTTGGTCTTGCAAAGTGCAAGACCAAGACCGATTTTGGGCAACACTAGTCAGGACGCAGTAATTTTTTATGTATATTTATTTCGAATATTTCGATCCAAGCTTGAGTATCCTCATCAATACTGAACACTTATAACATCAGAGATATAATATTTAAAGCTTATCTCACCTTTTTGATTGAAATATCTCGACATTTTGATTTAGAAAATATGGCAATTCCTTATTTTTATTTTATGGGTTTCATTTGTAACTAAGCAAAATCATTGTTTTTTTATTATAGAAATTTACAACTTTATTAAATAACAAATACAACAAGCAAATGTGAACAAGCAACATGATATGTACAACATGAAGAGAAACTACCCATTGGTTGCACTCCAATTATATTTCTGTATTAGAAGGTCGCGTAAGCCATCTTCTTTTCAGACGCCTCGGAGGGTTTTCAGGAATAGAAGAGGAAGCAATTTTGGAAACAAGAGGGTTCAGATGGTTCAGAAGTTTATTATGGAAGGATAGGTATCTGGATTGAGCTAAATTGGAAACATATAGTACATTAAGGTCATTATGGATGGTTTTATTTGTGACAAAGTAGGGAGCATTTTGCGAAGGATTTTGGATTGAAGGGATTGGGTACGAGAACAATTTGGTGGTTTAGTAGAGCCCCAAAGCTCCATCCCGTTAGTCCAAATAGGCCTTATTATAGTAATATATATGAGTCTTTTGTAAATAGTTGGAAGTTTAGAGCGTTTGTCTAGTAAGTACTGGAGTAGTAGAAAACGTCGGGCGGTTTCTAGTCGTTTCAGTCTTGTATGAGGATTCCAAGTGAGTCGTTTGTCAAGGGAGAGTCCTAGGTATCAGATTTGTTCAACAGAGATAAGTAGAGTATTGTTAAAGGATGCTGAAGGACAGGAAGTCATAGGTTTACGACGAATCATTGTTTAAGTTTCGATAAAAACAATGTAAACCTTAGTTTCACTATAAAAATAGCAAATTGTTTCTATCGAGTCGTGCTAAACTAACACTAAAAGGCCTTGATAAAGCGTATTCAAATATTTAAATAAAAGAGGAAGATGATAAAAAAGGATGACCTAAAGTGTCGGGCAGATGAGCACCCAAATTACGAGCTGAAGGATGGGCCTTAAGCGGACCCTACACGGTAATTCATGAATGAACGTCACAAGAATGGCAAAGATTGCTCGGGATCGCTTTGGTCATGAAGACTCCTACACGTTCAATCATTACTTATCATTGCTGAAGCAATTTAGCTCAGTTGTAAACAAAGAAACAGCATAGATATGCTTATTTAGACATTGTCATTTATAACATTGGGCATCAAGAGAAAAATGGAGATATAATAATTACTTCCTAATGCCTGAAAATCGTTTAGACCAAAGTTAGAAAAGTATAAGTCAACTACATACAAAAATCTAAGAAAAGTATTGCGAAAATTATCAATTTGTTAAGAAAAATGGAAAAATTGATGACAAATAAACACAACAGTTAAAGATTTTTTTTCTATAAGTATATTGTGAAGTTTCCAATTTTTTTTTTCAATTTATTGCCTACTTGACAATTCAAAGAAAATATAGTTAATAAAAATATAGGCTAGGGATACAAACAACTATTTACTTTTATGAAATTATTTACTTAAAAACGAGACCTAGGTAAACTAACCTATCTAGTAGTAAGGTTAGTCTCATAGAACATCCTTTTGACAAAAGTTAGTAAAATATAAGTCTACTACTTACAAAAATTAAGGAAAAGTATTGCGAAAATAATAAATTTGTTAAGGAAAATGGGAAAAGAACTGATAAATATACACAACGTTAAAGATTTTTTTTTCTTAAATTAAATTGTGAAGTTTCCACTTTTGTTTTTAAATTTTTTGCCCACTTGACTATTTAAAAGAAATAGTTGAAGATGGTTTAAAAATATAAACAAGGGATATGAAAAAATATTTAACTATTTATTTATAATAAAAATCAGAAATTTATAATGGTTGTGAGGCCTAGGTAACCTAATTTATCCAGTAGTATGGTTAGTCTCCCCACTACTTTAACTCAGTCCGCCCTCCACTTCTCGTGAATGAACCTTTGATTTCTGGATGTTCGGAAATCCGCCACACACCACCATCAGTACTTCATTCACTACCTTACACGACAATGCGGAATGTCATTAGTGCCTCGGAATGCAATTCCGAATGACTGTGTAGGGTCCGCTTTAAGACATAGATGGACACCACAAACGGAGAGATGATTCTCGAGACTTTGTGGGAGGAAGAAATTCTAACGGAGAGACGAGCCTCCAAACTTAATAAATATGAGAACAAACAGACCCGAGAATGGATGGTATGATTTCGCCATGTTTAAATCGGTTAGCAAGAGTCGTTGCAATTACTGTTATTTTTAAACTTTCATCAGTATATCTTATTACCATAAAACTTTATTATTAAAAAGTATTCATTATGTATGTATATGCATTTGCAAGTTTTTACTACAGATTTTTACATTAAAATAAAAATAAAATTATTGCATAAGAAATAAAAATACAACTTCTGAGTAAAATTCCTGAGCCCGCACATGTGGCGGTACCAGGTAACGGGCAGATGAACTACTTGTCCCCTACACTTTTATAGAAAAGTTGGTAAACTAAACTAAAATCCTACAAGACTTGATCAACATTGCAAAAAGTAAGTTTTGCAACTTTTATATCCATAGTAACAGACATGAAACATAAGTAAATGAAATGGCAGCAAAATTATACGATAAATATTGGAATGTCAACATAAACTCAGAACTTTGAAGTAATAAATATCTATTTAAGTGTGGCGTGATTTCTCGTAGTAAAGGCCATGTAATAATTTGCACGATAAGAGGTAATGCCATATAATTAGTAGTTTTTAAACCACAATTTTTTATTTTTTCTATGGTTTTTAGGTAACAAGGTCAAAATTGAGTAGAACCGTCATTAAACAAATGGCGTAGCTTGCTCTTTTTTCATTTCTTGTGTGTTATATGACTATATAGCTCCTGGATAAGAGATTATTATCGCCCATTTACACATCAGTTCACATCTTACACCCTCATCCATTAGGAATATTTTTAAAAAATATATCGATATTCTTGTACGGTATTATTTATATCAATATTGAAATTTGACTATCGAAAAAGATATTTTTTAGAAAACAAAAAACACTGCAAAACCCAGCAACAAACTTTTTGAAATTGAACAAGTGGTTTTACTTGTTTTATTTTTTATGCGAAACAGTTATAAATTTCAACAAACTTGTTTTTTAAAAACAGCACTAGTGGTGTGGTGTGTTCACGTTGTTGCCTGTAGTGGTTGCGGACAAGTCAACCGACGTCCTGCATTTTCTTGTTGGTGAATTTTATAAATAACTAAGGGAGATATACATTGGCAAGTTGAAAACAAATTTATGGAAAATAGTAGCAATCTTAATTGTTTGTTTGTTAATTGTAGTTAATTATGATTACTTTAATTATTAGAAAGTAATAATTACTTTAACTGGAATAACTGGATATCATTAAAATTTATTTTCAAATATTTTATTTTATGTTATATATGCAACTGCGTGCATTAAGTAGAAGTGATTTTCGCTCTATTTTTATATTTTTTCATAGTTTTTTTTTTATATACTATGAGCGGATTTCTAGGCCACTACCTTTTCAGTCTTCGGCGACGCTCCCCAGGTAGAAAGAATGTATGAAAAAGGAGACAAGTCTATATGGAACGTTAATAGCTGAAATATGAAATGTATATTTGTTATGAATGTAAGATTTTACTGTTGGTATATTTATATCATAGTGTATAGTATGTTTTTAAATAAACCAAGGTATATATATGATTTTTCGAAGTCCTGCTCCGTATGCATAGATAGGTATATGCTCTAGGTGAGTTTTCTGTCCAAATATCGCATGACAACTTAAACCAAAAAGGTATAGCCCGTATTCTCATACTTTATATTAGTTGTTATCAGTTTGCATTTAAAATTAATGTAATATTTTTGAGTTCATTAACGTTTCATTTATTTACTTCTATCAATTGGAGCACTTAAACCACTCATAGGTTAATTTAGCCCTAACACAATACATGTTTTAAATAGTCAATATTTACAAAATGTAGAATAATAAGTGAAAATGGTATGATACAAAAAAAAATTGAGTTTTTTTAAAATTTACGTATAAATATTCGCAACTTTATTATACATATAATATATAGGCGTTTAAACATATAAGAGTTTATATATAGGCGTTTAAATATATCCTTGGTTTATTTCAGGAAGTCATTATTGGAAAAGTTGAATTATGTATTTCGATCATAATCGTAAGTGTAAAAACTCACTAATTTTAAGAATATTAAAAAACACAAACCCTGTTATATGGTTATACTAATACTTAAATTTCTCGACTTTTCTTTTTTTCCACATCTTTTTCATCTTTACCTCCATCTCCTATCTTCTTTCTTGTGCCCACCTCCTTCGTTACATCCACCACAAGAACCTTTTTCCACCAACTATTTTTTGAAACTCCTCTATGTCTAGGTAGTCCTATTCTCTGATCTTCTCAGTCTTCTTGTCTCTTCTTTAATCTGCTGAGGATTTTCTTTGATGTTTGCAAGTTATATCACTTTATTAAAGATCTGTTTGTTCAATTTTTCCTTTACCATCCTCTTTACATGACCGTAAAACGTTAACTTTATTTTTCTCTTAGATGTCTTTAAGTCTTATATGTTATTTATAGTATCATCATATTATAAATATTACGTATTTATTAACAATGATTCGGAATGTATATTATTGCAGAGAGATGCGGTGCCTTAGGAACACGATTCACACAAACTTGATGTTCACTTACGTCCTGGCAGACTTCATGTGGATCCTGTCGCTAACTGTATGTTTTCTTAATTCAATTAATTATTTATTGTTATTGCATAATATTGTTTTAATTTAATTTTATAAACAATACAAATTGTCAACTAATAGCTTCAAAGGGATTACAGATGATAAGACATTTTTTAATTAAGTGATTCGAATCAGATAAAATAAATGAGTTTAAAAAAAATAATTTTTTGTCACTTGTTCAATTCCCTAATGAACAGAAATACATCTTAATAGTCTTATGCAGAACCCTTTTTACCAAATTATCATAAAACTTCATGAATAGCTTCATCTTATCATAAACTTATATAATATATTTAATGAGGTAATGAAAACTCATGGAAACCCATTTGCTCTGTATCATAAGATAATTTGATCACAGCGTCGAGAAAAATCGGACCTACAAAAATATTGAGCCGTTAGCCTTATATAACTATCGTTATTTAGACATGTTGGGTGTGAAGGGCACGCCAAATGGCCCAATATTTTTGTCGGCCACTTTTTTGGGATCAAATTATCTTATGATTTTAATGGAAAGTAATTTAGTGTTCATGAGTTTTTACATAAAATAGACCAAGTTTTCATATCTTCAGATAGGAAACGTCACATCGCCCAGCATTTTCGTAAATAAAAAAAAAAATTGGCGGATATTAATAATTTGATAAAAATTGGTCTGTACCATGGACTATAAGCAGACGAAAATATCCAAAGTTTAGAATGTCTTACTCAAATACACAATACAGTGTTATTGCATAAATTACATCCTACAATAGTATATTTTCCTTGCTATGCTTATATTTCAAAAGTGATGAATAAATATTGATGAAATGTCTTAACTAAATTAATTCGCAAATGATCAAAAAGGTAAAAAAATCTACATAAAATGATCAAACAAATGTATGATCTCTAAGTCTAATTCTTTGGTTTCAATTGTACTTTTTTCACAAAAACTTTTTCGCCAAGGGTCTCCGCGTGAATTGATCAGTCCAGAAAATTTAAAAATATAAAGTATGAGAATAGACCCTATATATTTTTGGTTTAAGTTGTCGGACTATATTTGGACAGAAAACTCACCTAGAACATAAACACCAAATTGAAAACAAAGAACTGACCAGACGATACAAACAACTGTCACATCTTTTGGAATACAGATCTCTACTCAACTTACAAAATAAGCAACGAATCTACACCACTATACCTAAAATTTTCATACGGAGCATAACTTTCGTGTTCCGCAAAATACGCCCACATAAACAAACCACACAGTCCAGAATACTTCGAAAACTGGTATATGCACCTTGGTTTATTTAAAACCATACTAAACATAACGATATGAACATACTAACAATAAAATCCTATATATTATTTCTAAAAGGTGTTTTTTTGTCGGTACGCCATAACTTCGTCAATTCTTCATCAAATCGAATGATTGACCACTCATTTTGGAAATTTTCTTCTCCTTCACATGCGAAAAATACTACCATCCTCCCGAAATTTCTGGAAAAAAAGTTATGGAGGAAAAGAAACTTAATTTGCGAATAACTCAAAAAGTATGGTTTTTTTTCTTGATTGTACCCATGATAGAAAGATTACTAAATTACCTACAAAACAAAAAAAATGGTGAAATGCGGACAATTATTAACAAAGATACAGTCCATTAGTTTCGGTATACTTAATAATGTCTTCCTGTTTAAAGATATTGCCTTTAGGACTAGAATAGTCTACTACATTTTTTTTCCTGGCTTTTATATTAACTTTATTATTTCTTAAAGACATTTGTTTATTCTTACATTTTATATTTTGTAATAATTTAGAATATCCTATAATCGGGGCAATATTTTGTCTTTATTACTTTTATTATCTTTCCAGTCAGCGTTTAAAAATAGGTCCTAGCAAAATTAATTTGTATAAATATTTTGATATATTACGTTTAATGGAATATTGTGATCAAACAAGGAAAAAATATTAATTCCTTACATAATGCATAGGAACTACTTATTTCCATATTGTTTAATATTTCTTTACGAAACAAAATTTTCTGCCAATTTTTTGCACGAGCCAACTAGTCTTACATTAATGACAAATATACAACATTCCATACTTCAACTATTAATCATCCATATTCACTTGTCCTCTCACCTGCTTCCTCCCTGTGACCTGGTGAGCTTCAACGAAGACTTGAAGTTTAAAAGGCCGTTGCAACGCAGATGCAAATATATTTTAAAATAAAATAATAATTCGATTTACTACATTTTGTTTTATTTGAATATTCTGTTCAGTTTTAAAATAAAATTTTAATCTATAAGTGTGTATGCGTATTCTTTCTTAATTACAAATACTTTCTATGAAGATATACATTGAATTGTGTCATATCATACTTATTGATCTCTTTTACCAACCTCCTTGCACTATTATATCGATGGGGACTCCTATCGATTCTAAACATTACAAAGAGATATAAAGCAGAGAGTGCAATAAGTTCTACTAAGGAGACCCCTCCCTTAACTTCTGCAATGAGTCCGTTTAGATTTACGTAATCCCGATCATTTGTCTTTCTTAGTTCCTACTTAGCCGGACGTAATCAAACTTGTCAACTAGCCCAATTTGTTTCACCGAGTGACTAATCGACTTTAACAACAAACCTGGCTGGCTTCCTCAAACATCTTAGAGAATTGTTTTAACGTGATAAATAAATGAAATGTAGTACATCACGGATTTTTATTTATTGAATAACTGCAACTGTTACTTTTTAAAAACTGCATGGATAATTACAAGTATCATATAACATATGTTGTATAGTTGAAATTATCAATTATTTATAATTAAGGACACGGCATAATGGTAGATATAAATCACCTAAATAACTCCGAGGACGTCGCTCGCAAATATATCTTTTCTTTCATTAAAATTTATTTTATCCTGATAAGAATCTTAATTTAATGACAAGGATAACTAAAATTCACATAATAACTTCAAGTTGTACTTTTACCTAGGACTCCATCTGGACAAACGTCTAACTTGGAATCCTCATACCAGACTGAAAAGACAAAAAACAGCTCGACGTTTCCGAATACTTCTACACTTACTAGAACAACGCTCTAACCTTCCAATCAATTATAAAAGACTCATTTACTATAATAAGGCCTATTCGGACTTTTGAAGTTGAGCTATGGGGCTCCACCAAACCTTCAAATTCCTCTCGCATCCAATCCTTACAATCCGAAATCCTTCGTAAATCCTCAATACTCCTTACTTTGTTACAAATAAAATTATCCATAATGACCTTAATGTTCTTTATGTATCAGATTTGACCCAATCCAGATATCTGTCCTTCCATAATAAACTTCATAACCATCCCAACCCTCATGTCTCTAACCTTGCTTTCTATTCAATTCCTGATTCCTTACCCTCTGAGGCGTCTGAAAAGAAGATGTCCACGTGATCTTCTAATATAGACATATTATTAGAGTGCTACCAATGTGTAGTTTCTCAACATTTGTTCCATGTCATTATATTCATGTGCGAATTTACCAGATGTATTTTTTGTATACAGTTGTAAATATCATATAAATAAATGAATAAATAAAAGTTGTACTTTTGAAGGGATTACGAAGCATTTAACTTTTGTAATATTGGTAATATACTTTTGCTTTAATAATGCTAAAACTCGAATCTCTAAACTCAATATAACGACATAACAACGTTTAAATTATATACATTCAAAAGAATTCTATCAAAAAGTAAATACAAATAGGCAGTATCATTGCTAATATTGGTACGATTTAAATAATTTTTCTTTTTATGTTTTTTGAAGTGATTTTTAAAAAAATCATTTTGAGTACAATTTTTACAGAATCCAGCCTTATTGCAGATCTAGAATATAAAAAGAACTAAAAATGATAATTTTTGCTTCATAGGTATTGTCATTTTTGAGATACAAAGATTAATGAGAGTCAGTGACGTAATCACACTTTTATTTTATATGAGTGGCTTGCTTCCAAACTAAATTCTAATCTCTTTTTTTGTAGAGAATCGAATAGAAACATTTTATTGGCTTAATATACATCGTAGTCATGGAGTCTGGCCCATTTAGTGTTAGTAGGGATTCGTTTTATAAGTAGAAGAAAATAAGTAAATAAGTACAGTATAAAAAGACAAAAACAAAAACATTTTTATATAACAAACATCATAAATATTTTTACTATTTATATATAAATATATTTATATCATAAATGAGATATCATAAATGATTAAAAATACATATATACTAAAGAAAGTTTACTATTCAAACACAACCATGCAGAACAAATAGCAGAGATCTTAGGATTACAACGCACATGTAGAATCGTACAATTAATAATAATAATATTTAAAAGGCACCCAAATTCTGAATAAATACACGTACGCCCACGGACATATGAACACATACCTGACTGACCTAAAGCTGAGGGTTTGGAATTGAATTGATAGAGTCACAAACACTTATAATAAAATAAAATATTTTGTTCTATTAGTCAAGATTTTTTATATCCAACACACATTCCAGTGATAAATCAGCTGTGGCAGCCTGTATATGTGTATGTAAAGTTATTTACTGCTATGTGTCTTCAGAAACAAACACTCCAGTATCAATTATTATAAACCTTTATTGATAAGTTGGCCGCACCACTTGCAGACTTCGTTTGTATTTATAACGTATGTAATGTTCTCATGGAGAAATTTTAGATGGTCACTACCCGATACTCTTAAACGACTTACCATAACTTTCTTAGAAGTTTCATAAATTTTAAATAATTTTTGGGTTCTGAGCAATTGTGACCACAAATACATCGATACATAGGGCTGTAATTTGAATTGTAGCCACGTTCAATGTCTCTGGAGTATAAATTGTTGGACACAGTTGTTAAAATAGCATTTTTGTTTCTAACAAGCATTCCTAGATCAGGAAAACTATTAAAATATTCTTCAACGAAATTAGAAGAGGCTATATTTTTAAGTTGTGAAGACATATTAAAATCCAATTTTTTTTTTTTTGTATTATTGACTTTTACG